ATGCCTGTATTCTACGTCAAGTTTTGGGACATTCGAGATTGCCACTCCAACTTTATCAGAACGAGAAGTCTGACAATGCGTCTTGATCTTAAAGTGCCATTTCATTGTCCATTTATGTCACGTACAGGTGTATCGAGGATATTTTATTATATGGTACAATTCAGACACCTAGAGAGAAGTTATAAAAAATTAATCGCATTAAGTACGAAATGGTTGGACACGGCTAATGCGCAAGTTCAAAAACCTATGGCTTCTAGACAAGAAGTAAGTTGTGGAGTCATCTTAAAATGTTTGCCTAAATGATGTAAATACTTCATTTATAATTTTATTAATAAAACAAAATTTAAAAGTCAACACTTAAACTGCCGTTGGTCATGTTTTAAATGCAATACTCCGTACAATGTGACTGACACGGTAGTCAAAGGCTTAAGAGCCTTTCTACTTAACCTCTTCTTAACAGATTTACAAAACTAAATTGATTATGGAAAACCGTAACAGTGTATTTTCTGCTCTATTGCAATCCAAAGCTTGTCTAAAAGAATAGCGTTTTGAGAGATAGGACATTTTGTTACACATTATCATGATCATTAAAGCCCATTCAATTCCACATAGTGACCTATGTCAGCAGAAAGGATAATTTGTAAAATACCTAATAATAGCTTAAAAGTGGAGTTAATAAAAAGCAATCGGACATGACGACAATTTTCACTTAACTTTAAACTTAGTAAGTTTATGGGTTTGTAAATTTCGTTACTTATTCGATATTAATTTCAACTCGACACATACTGGGTATTACTAAAAGTATAATTATTTCAGTTGTTTTTGTTTTCCTGTGCTATGTCTAACTTAGTTTAATATTCTAAGAAAATGGGTAATTATGTTTTAATGGGCGAGGTAATTATAATTGTATATAATTTTTCCCTTTTAAGTAAACCTATTTATGCCGTCGATTTTTTATACTGTTTTCACCACTGGGCTTCTTAAATATAAATTAATATTTAGTTTAAAATAAATAAAATTAATTACTTAAAGTACTATAAAATTAGGAATATAACTATTATTTCTTCGTTAATTTTTTATTTAATCCCCTAAGGCCTATGGTTCCATTATTTAAATAAAGTAATGAACCCTAATAATTTGGACAAGTAGCTAAGAGTATAATGAGACATATTTTTTTTATAGAATAAGTGTGACAAGCGCACGGTACACCTGATAGTAAGTGGATGCTGTGGTCCAAATACATCTAATTTACTCTCAATTAAGAATCCAAATGTACATGTGTTATCACTACTAAGATGGAATGCCTCGTTTTCAATAAAAAGGGTCACCGGTTCTCTACGCTCACCATACGAAACACAATAGCATTACGGTGTTATTTTTTATGTCATAGCTGCAGCCTGAAGCGTGGCTCCAACACGTATGATATTTATAATTGTATTATAAAACCATTATTGAAACTGAATTCCTTCGCAGTTTATTACTTAATATGTGTAAATTAATATAATCTCATATTAACTTTAGCACAGTATTTACTCGTTGAGAGTTCAATAAAATAATTATATTCTTTTTATTTTTTATTTGACATAAACCTTTATAGGATTTTTATCCGAACCAAGGAAGGGTTATGTTTTTCGCGCGATCTTGTATGTTTGTAAATTTCTTTATTACCTCGTATCTTCCAAATGACTGGAGGGATTTCGATAATTAATGTATCCTTTTATTCGTCTTAATAACCCAAGTGTTCTTAGATATCTTTTTTCTTAAATAAACAAAATGGCGGATTTTTGGCGCAAAATGATAATATGTTACTAAAAAAAATAACTAAACATATCGAATAGGATATCAAAATAAAAGAAGTTAAAAAGGGATTACCAAAAAAAATATATATATATATATATATAATAGGTTTTTTAATTTTGTTTTCTTTACACAATCTCGTTTCGGTCTTTTAGTTGATTATTTTTAAATTGTCTTTTTTGCAGTCGTGTTTTAATTTTTTTAAATTATTATACAAAGTTATTAACACTGGAATGGAATCAATTTTCGTAGTGTTTAACTTAGGGTATTTTAAAATTACCTTAAGTCGAACGCCACTTTCTTTTATTACATTTAAGGTTGCTCCATCAAAGTACTCGAAAGTCGCGGATTTAGTATAATAACCTAAGTAACATTAAACGCGATAAAATCGGTACAAATAAGTTTGGTTTTTTAACGTTATTATTCGAGAAGTAAATAATAATGAATAATTATTTCAGCTAAAATTTGTTTTCAGGAACTTTAAACAAACTGGTTTATTAGTAAAAAAATTTGTAAAAGAGTATTTTCTGTTTTTATAACGCCGAAGCCGAATATGAACTCTCAATAGGAAAAGTGTATGGTCTAAGTGCTTTTTTGATATAAAGTTTTACACCGATTTCTCTCTTAGATGTGAAAATTTAATGCGTGCAAAATAAAATAAATAAAAATATTCCTTTACAATAAAAATCAAAACAGATCAACGACATGTCTAAATCATAAAAAACTTAACATTAATTTGAATTAAATTCGGACCACAATTAAATTATTTTTTGTTTATTTTGATATTGTAAATATTTTGACCACAGAGATATTCAATGCTATATTATGAGGAATAGACTAAAGATTGACCACTTTTTCATAAGACGTGGTATCATAAGTTCATTCATTAAAGCATATTAAAAGTACAAAAAAGGCTTCTAGACCAAGGCGACCTCATAGGGGGATCCCCTACGAGGTAATCTTGTTTACCATAGTTGCCATAGTTGTCACTCTTATCAGGCGGATTTTCATTAATTTTAGTTGTTACTCGGAAAATTCAGCTGCTCATCCCCCCCTTTTATTTCCTTCTGTCGCCTCCTAAAACACCCACGGGCTTATATGAGGAAGTGGATTCCTAGTTTATGCAATTACACGGCGAACTAAAAAAAAAATTTATGTCGGTTTCTCTCGCAGCATTAACGTCAAAAGAGTCCGACTGCAACACAAACAATTTTTTTATAGAATAAGGATGACAAACGAGCACACAGTCCACCTGATGGTAAGCGGATGCTGTGGCCCATAGACATCTACATTTATCCGCGATTGAGAATCAAAACGCATATGCGTTGTCACCGCTGAGAACTAAGATGGAATGCCCCGTTTTAAGTAAAGAAGAGTTTCCGGATCTCCACACTCACCATACTAAACACAGTAAATTACTATTTCTGTCAATTGGCGCAAATATGAATGCCAGAGAAACTATAATTATAGTCGATTTGTATATAAATGTGTTCCTTTGGCCAAAAACAACTTAAAAACATACTTACATATAAATATGGCTCCATAAAGATCTCATAAACATTGCTTTGGTAATCTTCAATGGCTGGCAATGATTTTATAATTAAATTTCTTCCATAGCCTGGAATGCCTTGCATAGCCTTCCCGTTTATAACTGCTATCAGCCACAACATTTGGCTAACAAATACATACAGCCGCAGATACATATTGCGATACTTTTTTATTTTTAAATTATAAAATATACTGCCTATTTTTAGCCAAATTAAGATGTTGGGTAGGTCCACAATTAAAAAAAATATAATTTTGATGGCACGTGTCGTCTCAACTAAAGGTGAACTGTCAATGATTTTGCTGCACGGCAAAGAGTTTTGAAGTGATGTTTTTATGTGTAATGAATACGTGAAACGTTTGTATGGCGGTTTGTCATTACTCGATCTTCGTGAGGATCCAAGGCTTCGTAATTGAGAGCGTGAAGTAATAATAGCTTAGACACGGCATTGTTTACTTTTGTGGAAGCTGAAACTTTAATGCCATGTCTGAACGTTTCTATAATAGTAGACAGATGTCATCGATTCATTTTGTATTTTTTGTATTATACACAATAATTTAATAATTATACAGGGTATTTGTGACTAATATTTCGATGTAAACATATGAACAGAATCTAGGAATATTTTATATTTCATCAAATATCTAAAAACCTATGAAGAATTTTCCGATATAGTAATGATAGGTTATTTTAAATTCTTTAATAAAAAACATTTCGTATTTTTTTGTTTTAAATAAAAATGTAAATTTTTATCACCCTTAAAAATTTATATGATAAATAAACTTCATTTCTTCTTATAAAATTATTAATTTTAATTAAAATAGAAAATCTTATAAAATATTACTTATTAATAATCAGTTTTGCCACCTCTTATGGTCGCCACACATGGCGAGTTCAACTGATCATTCCAACTGATCAGTTCAAACTAAAACTGTTGATATTTTTTAAAATATTAAATTTTCGCTATATCAATAATTATAAATATATCAATATCGGAGTTTTATATATAAGTTTATTTATCGATATATCGAAAATCCAATATTTGAAGAAATATCAACAGTTTCAGTTAGAACTGATCAGTTGGAATGATCAGTTGAACTGACTACGTGTGGCCTCCATTACATTAATTACATATCGACATCGATTGTTCACACTTAAAATTAAATTGTCAATTTCTTGCTGCGGTATGAAGTCCCATGTTCTTTGCAAATGTTCGTAAAGTTCTTGTTTCGTCGTTAAATTTGGCGGGAAATCTCTCAACGCTTTTGGTTGTAACATGTCCCAGGAATGCTCGATAGGATTTAAGTCGGGCAACTGTGCAGGCTAAAGGTGGGGTCCCACGGCCCGCCAGGCGACAGGCCGCGCCAGGCGTTGCACCGCCTCTATAGGCTTGTCGTGGCCCGTTGACTGACATTCCAACATGTTAGGCGATACGGAGCGCACGGTTGCATATGCAGCCGCTGTAGTTTTATTCAGTGGTGAAATTTTGTTAAATCAAGCAAAAAGAAAGCAGAAGAAACGACGACGCTGGTGGGTGTCGCCATTCAACAAGAGCCGATCAAGGTTGGTATCTAATTTTGACTAGCTATTGTATACCCGATTATTTTTATTTTAGAACAATAGAAACATTACATTTTCTTAAGTGCTTACAGATATAATGCTGAGTGATTTTGTTTGGAAACCTAGCGGAACATTTGGAAATTTCTGCAGAATGTCTTCAGATGATTTCACGTTCCTTCTTAATAAGATTGGCCCTCATATCTCAAAGATTGATACGAACATGAGACAGTGCATTCCAATTCAAGAACGATTTGCTATTGCACTTAGATTTCTAGCTACTGGTTTACAGCCTCTCATACTTATTTAAACAGTCTCAAGAAGCGTTGACGACGTCTGCAAAGCCATAGTACAAGAATTAAGGGAAGAAGTAAAAGTAAGTTGCTACGTTCATAATAATATTTATTTTAAGAAACTAGATACATTCATTTTGAGACTCATAAAACTCTTGTAATGTTGTTGTATCTGAAACCAGATTAGTACTTGGCGTTTGTTGTGCATTACAATTAATTTGAGTGTTTGGTGCTTATGAGGAAGTATGTGTATATGTGTGATGGTGATGATTGTGTATAATTGGGACTCAGACGATGGTTGAGGATGGAATGAAGCTGGAAAACTTAGTGAATTCTGTGCAGACTGGGTACTCGGCGAATCTTGTGAAAGAGGAATAATTTGAGTGTATGGTGCTTGTGAGGAAGTATGTGGTAATGATTGTAAATAATTGTGGCTATAGTAGGCCGGTGACTGGGATGCAGAAGATGATGAATCCTATGGCGATTGATAGGGGCTCTGGTTCAAGGATCGCATAGGCCTAATGGTAGTTGTTTCAGTGTGATAATCTGGTTGTTGAAATTGTTCTTTTTCTCGTCGTTTGAAACACCAACTTATCTATTTCTAGCATAGCTAATTCTCGTGTATGTTCCTGTAGACCACTCAATTTTTCTGCTAATAAATCACAATACAAAGAAGATACATCTTTTCGCGGTATTTGGCTTATTTGTTGCAAGCAATTGTATGTTTCGTCCATCCGATTTTGAGTTTCATTTAGTAAATTTTTTTTTTTGGGATTATTATTGGAGTTTTGAATGCAATGTCCTGTTCTTCATTACTTTCTAAATTTTGGTATGATTCATTACATTCGTCCTTACTATCATGTTTACTCTCATCTGATATCTGAAATTAATCGAGAACTACTTATTATTATTATGAGGCTTTTTTGTGCACCTTACAATTAACATTAACCTACAACTAATGTCTTTTGTTTACAGTTGCCACGGTCATCACATGAATGGTTGGAGGTCGCAAAAGAATTTTACCGCAAGTGGAACTTTCCTCATTGTCTTATTACATAATTTTCGCAGGAACTCCAAACAATCCAGGCAAATATTCACGCCAGTTGGCAGTTTTGACACTGATCATGAATGGGTTATTCAACCTGGCTCTTGGCGAAATGACCAAGAAGGAATGAGTTCTCTACTACCACTGAGATCTTTACCACGAAGATCAGCCGTTACTGCCAAGAGCGTCAGAGATAAATTAGCTGAATACTTTGTAAATTATGGCGCAGTACCGTGGCAGAATAACTATTAAATTATTGTTTTATAAGTTTATACTTCAGATTTGGATGAGTGAGATAAAATAGGTACGTAAATGGTAGATTTATACTCGATATAATATAAATAATTATTAATGTAAATTAAATGAAAGTATATAATGTAATGTATATAATGTAAATAAGTTATACAAAAAATTACTCACTGTAATCGAAGTTTTAGTTTTCCTTGGTTTATATACAACATCCAAAAATTTTGCCATTGTGTCGTAGAATGGCCATTCCGGCTTATAAATATTATCGGTGACATTAAATTTTCTTTTTTCTTCTTTAACTCCGCAATAGAGATAGTTCCATCTTTTAATTGAGATTTTATGCGTAACCAAGCATCATGGACATCGTTCCTATTTTTATGTTGAGGCGACGAACTATTCCAAAGCGCTGGATCATTTTCATAAAGAGTTAAAAACTCGAATATGAGCTCGTTCGTCCACTCCACGCCGCAGGTGAAATGAACGATTACAACCGACGCAGACGCGCCCGTACAGGCCGTGACAGGCACCGTGCGCGCCGCGCCTTTGATTTTACCGACTCCCGATGGACCGGACGGGCGACAACAGGCCACCGCAGGCCTCATCGGATGCATCGGTTTCCACGGTGTTCAGGCCGTCCCGCGTATTCTGGGAGGGGGAGGGGCAAAATTCCGCTCAAAAAAATAAATGCTCGGGGCAAGCTGAGCAACAAGACCAAGGCGACCCTTGTCACGCTATCCGTGAATTTCTGCAATATCAAGGGACTTCATTCTAACCTAAACGCCGTCCACTACCATCTCGAGACGCTGCTCTTTCTGACCGAGGCGCAGGTGTCCTCTCCGGCTGATGCTTCATATCTCTCCTACTTCAGACCAACCGCGTGTCTACGGGGCCTCTATAGGTCCCATAGCGGCTATGCCGAAACAGACCGACTCTTCTACCACGTCCAAATGGCTACAGATTTGTTGCTACAGCAGATTCCCACTGCAGAGATCGTGATCCTCGGTGATTTAACGCACACCACGCCGAATGGCTTGGTTCACATTTAACCGATCATGCGGGGACATCTGTTCATGTTTTTGCCTTGGCATATGGTCTGACACAAATGGTTACTTCGCCTACGCGATTTCCAGATATGGAGGATCATACACCTTTCGTGTTAGACCTTCTGCTGACCTCTCATCCGGACGGATATCAGATTTCCGTCGACGCCCGTTTAAGCTTCTCAGACCATTGTCTTGTCCGGAGTGTGGTGCCACACACACTGAAATCGCGGTTGCATTCTGCAAGCTGCCGCCGTGTTTGGCACTATAGGTCAGCCGATTGGGATAGGATGCAGTCTTTTTTTTTCATCCTACCCTTGGGGTGGGTTTGCTTCTCGCCGGACGATCCCAACTTGTTGCTGATTCTGTCGCTGATGTGGTATTTCGGGGTATATAACTTTTTATTCCTTCCTCTGTGGTGCCCATCGGAGACAAGTCTCAGCCATGGTTTGGTCGCTCCCATATAATAGCATCATACAATAAGCAGGAGTGCTACCAAGCCTGGGCTGACACATCGACGTTCTGGGATGTAAGCACCGGCGCTCTAAAAAAGAAGTTATAATTCTGCCTCCAGGTCCTTCAAAAGAGTCATTGCCAAGGCAAAGTCAGAGCACATAGGCATAATGGGCGAGAAACTAATTTGCCTTAATTCTTTTCTGGGACTTCTACTCTCTAGGCGTAATCCCAAAATCATGGAAGACGGCTTTCGTCCAAGCGACCCCTAAAAAAGGCGACCACTCAGACCCGTCCAACTATAGGCCCATCGACATAACCTCCTTGTTCTCCAAAACAATGGAATTCGTTGTAAACTGCCAGCTCATTAGGTGCCTTGAGTATCACCAGCTGATTAGTGATCACCAATACAGTTTTCGCCGTGGTCGATCAGCTGATGATCTTCTGGTCTACCTGACTCATAGATGGGCAGCGGCAGTTGAGTCTAAGGGGGAGGCATTGGCCGTTGGTTTGGACATTGCAAAGGCTTTCGATCTGGTTTGGCACAAAGCGCTTTTTTCGGAGCTCCTTTCCTTGGGCTTCCCGAGAAATTTTGCAATTTGATCGATAGCTTTCTTGCAGATCGGAGCATCAAGGTCGTTGTAGACGGGCAGCCCGACACCAATTCCCTTATCTGGTCCCCCCCCCCCCCCCATCTAATCACCCACCACACTTACCATCTCCTACCCCCACTTCCAACAAACTCCATTGCAAGCTCCGATTATAATCCTATTAATGCTGGTGTTCCACATGGCTGCGTGTTATCACAAACGCTGCTACTTCTGCATAGCAATGAATGTTACAAACCGGCAACATTCATTGCTATGCAGATGACAGCACTGATGATGCTCTGTACATCGGCCGTGCCAATGTTTTTCGGGAAAATGTCTCCGAGTACCGGGACAAACTTTGTCTGAAGTCAAGTCTTTGCTGAACAAAGTCTAGGATTGGTGGCGACTAAATCAAGTCCAGTCTAACCCATAGAAAACACATGTTTGCGCGTTAACCGCTAAAAAGAACCCCTTTGTTGTATATCCTCAGTTTTAAGGCACTCCCCTTGTTGCCTCAGCCACAATCGGAATCCTCGGCGTCGCCATAACGAGTGACGTGCAGTTTCGTGGTCACTTGGAAGAGAAGGCCAAATTGGCCTCTAAAAAGTTTGGCGTGCTCGGCAGAGCGGGACAGTATTTCATGCCGGCACACCACCTGCAACTTTACAAAGCGCAAGTTCGTCCGCACATGGAATACTGTTCTCATCTCTGGGTTGGGGCTCCCCAGTGCCAGCTCTTTCCACTTGACCAAATCCAGCGCAGAGCGGCTCGAATCGTCGACGACCGAGTGCTTTCCGATCGGCTCGAAGAGTGGAGATTGGCGCAGCGAAGAGATGTAGCATCTCTTTGAGTATTTTATCGCATCTATGACGGGGAGTGCTCTGAGGAATTGTTCGGATTAATCCCAGCCACCAAATTTTATGAACGCAATACGTGGCAAACCTCCCGATACCATCCACACTATCTGGATGCTTGGCGGTCCACCACTGTACGTTTCACTAGGAGTTTTCTTCCGCGTACGACCGATACGACCTGGGGACCTTCAAGAAAAGAACTTACACCTTTCTAAAGGGCCGGCTACGCAGCTGCAATTCCGCTGGTGTTCCGGTTGTCCATGGGCTGCGGTAGTCACATAACATCAGGTGAACCGTATGCTCGTTTACCCCCTCTTCTATAAAAAAATTCACTAGATTAACTATTGAAATACCACTTTAATCTTGGCTACAACGTCTTTGTAATGGTTGGCAGATTTTTGGAATTGCTATGATGACAAACATCATCCCTGTTGGGGCAATTATTTGTACGCCAAACAAATATTTATTAAATGCGGGATTCAAACTCGCGTCCCTGCATCGCTGCGTCTAAACGCTTAGCCATGGCGATACGAAGCCGTCAATATTATAGTAAGTGTATTAATTGTTACAATTAAAAAATTAAAGTATATTTTGATTTATAACTGTTGACGAGTACCTATAATATACCATAAGGTCAGAAATCTAAAAATCCAAGCATAACTAAGATCTTTGATCACGTTTTAATAAATGCTTTTAACTACATTTTTACCGTTTACTAAGCACGAAAACTTAGTTCATCTTTTTTTTATAGGGTGACAAACAAGCACACAGTCCACCCGATGTTAACTATGTACATCCATCCTAGATTACGAATCAAAATGCAGATGTTCTGTGGGAGCATGATTTTTTCCCCCGTAGAGCCTTCCAATTCGTGCAATAACTATACCAGAAATATAGCTGTAGCATGCCTCTACCACGTATAAAATTTTATTTTCTCATCTGCAGTTAAATATACTTTATTCTCCGATTGACCTAAATAGAAAGTATTATTTTTCGATTATGTTATATAGATACATATACATATACCTATCTGTTCCTTTGTGAACTGTGCCCTTACGTGGTAAAATAACGTTGCAGTTATATTATGACCGCAGCAGCAGCACGAATGAGTCGGCTCGACCGGGTAAGAACCACACTCTCATATAAAATCAGCGTAAAATATAGTTCCTGCAATTCACGAGTGTAGTCGACCTTTGGATGTGGTTCGACATGTACATGGACAGTGTGACAGTATGCGTGCCTGGCGGAGCGGCCAGTCGCGAGTGGACACCCGCTCTGCCAGGCACGCACACTGTCACACTGTGCTATATGTCGAACCACATCCAAAGGTCGGCCGCACTCGAGAATTACAAGAACTATAGCAGCATAATGCTGCTGTGCTTAGAACCGCCGACCCCTTTTAATGATAACGAGGCATTCCATCTTAGTCGTCAGGGTGACAACGCAACAAACGAATTATTGCGAACACTATTGTTACTGACTTCTTTTGAATTAAATTCAAATGAAGAACCGATGCATATTCGAATGAAAACTGTCGTTTTGCCTAAAATAATAATATTACTAGATGTATATGGTAGTTGTGCAGTTTTGATTACTAATAACCACAAACCAAACTTTTCAAATAACTTTAAAAATATTTTCATACGTCATCGCTTGACATATAATGTCATAACTTGTTAACCATCAAGATCAACATCACAAGTGACTTGGAACCAATGAAGTAATAATTAATGGTAATGAACCGTGACTTCATTTACAACCACCACGATGACGGTCATACGAGCTGGTCTAGGGCTGGCAGGACTCTGAACAAATGGTTGTGGCGAGCGTTCTGCTGTGGGGTACCAGGCGTACCTTGTTATTTTTGCACGTGTTGTAAGAGATTGGAGAACATTACGGAAAGAGAACTACCTAGAATCAATCGTAAGTAATTTGACAACGTACTATTTCGAGCTGACTAGGTATGAGCATTGAGATATTACTACTATGCTAGTAATATAGTTCGATGTGTATGAGACGTTTATTATATTTTCCATATATTTGTTATGTAAAGAGTTAAAGTTATATTTTAATTCTACTTGCTGTTGCGCAATAGGTTTCATGTTTTAATCTTTAAGTGTTTAATAGCACCAAACAGCTACACTTTCTTGCATTGATAAGACTATCAGGCGTCCATCATAATATGGGTACAATGTATTACGCCAGGCCAAAATGTTCTTGAAGATAAAGGCCTAATTTCAATAAAAAAGACAAAAACACTGCACGAAATAAAACAATGGTTTAATTTATAAGAAGTTGATCTACCTACTTTTCGTTCAGTCGAAGAACCAACAAGAAACCCAGTGAATTAAAAAAATAATAGTTTACAAATGTGTATTATGTGCATCATTAACGGTTACTCTACCAAACCAAACTTTTGATCGCAATGAGGCGATACTGCAGTTATCTTTAACCGACTTTAAAAAAGAAGGAGGTTTTTAACTAACCTGTATTATTTTCTAGGTGAACTGATTTTTATGATTCTTTATTTTTTGAAAGCTGCTGATTCTCATGTCATCCCATATAAATTTGATCAAGATCTGACCAGTAGTTTTTGAATTATTCTTGATAATGTGTATTTAATTGATTTCGACTACATTGATTACGTTCTCATTTAAACATTTTTAACACTTATTTATTAAGGTATATGAATTATACTCAATGACGATTTAATTCTAAAAGCATTGATACAATATTTCTGACAGAATCAACTGCCACAGCCGAGCGCGCGTCGCGTCTACACCGACCCAACGCTCCCAGGAGTAGGAAATCGACGCCTGAAACATTGTCGGCGGTGCGCTGCGCGCTCAACCAGCTCCAGGGAGAGCCTGCTCCACCAGCGCCGGTGGCAGCACCGAATTGCCACATGCCCGAGCCAGGCTGATTGATTTCTTTGTGAATACTTTGTAAGATTACTTTGTACTTGTTTTTATTATTTTTTTATTAATCAATGTGACAGTGTAAAATAAGGGACATTAAATAATTATTCGTATTTACATATGTTTTGATTATTAAAAATCGGCCAAGAGCTAAACAGCGCGGCGCGGCGGCGCAAATAAATCCGCTATCCCATATTAGTCCGTAGATGTCGTAGAGGGAGAGATAGAGATAGTCGGCAGAGGAGAATCTATTCTAATATCTATTGATAGAAATTCAAAATGAAAAACTGCGATTGCCGGTCAGACCCGCCTGGCAAGCGTGGCAACTATGGCTGATATATATTTTCATATATAGCTCTATAGTTAATAATAATATAAATATATTTTTATATCTGTTAAGGGGAAATATAATGTCAAATGGCTTAGCAAGATCCTTCGTTATGCCGAAAATATTGCAGCATTAATTTTGAAATAAATATATGGTAAAGTTGAGGATTAATGTTAATGATTATGTTAGACGAAAACACGATTTCGTAAAATTTTCTCGATAGAAAAAAAATCCAAAGTTACCTCCAAAATAAACAATAAACCGCTGTTATTCAAAAAATACTTTAAATAAGATCATGAAACTTTGCGTACTAACTGAACTAACTATAAAGCAGTGCTTATGTTATTTACTTTTTTTAAAATACCATCATTTTCACTGTAAAAAGAAATTACCTAAACTATCGGCGTCTTGAGTTTGATTCCTGTCGCACCGTTAGTATCGCTTAGGCTTTTGAAGGGAGAAGTTGTGTCGCTTACGATCACAATATACATTACGCAACAGTACGACGTAAAATTAAAATGGGAAATAACCGCGATAAAAATAAGAAGCGGCTGGCTTGGCGTTAAGAAACAGGCATAAATATGATAAACCTAATGAAATAAGTGTCTAACGACTTTTCTACTTACAGTATTAGTGATTACAAACATATCGGTACATAGCATACGACGCGCGGGGAAGTGGGGGCGAAATTAGAATTTGAGCTGACTTACTCTATCCTCTTAATACGAATATAAATTAGTAACGTAATATAAAGCAATATAACGTAATATAAATAGTTAATTAATTTTTTAAATAAAATTGACCTCCATCTGGTCTTGACCTCCATCTGGCCTGAGAGCAAAGATGAGGTCTACTATGGAGCGAGTTTGCTCAGGAGCAGCCTATTAAACACCTTGAAGAGGTAATATAAATTGTTATAGGTACTCGGAAAAAGAGACACCGACAGGGAATTTCACTTCATTGATTTATAGCGCTTAGTGCGAGTATTCGGATGTCAATCAAGTGTGAATGGTAACCTGCAGTGCGTCTGGTACTCCGATAGGCGAATAGAGATGGCGGTATGAGCTTACGAAGCCCATAGTCACACTCTCTAAAGTACAATCTGTAACAAACAACTTGGCGGCGGTGAGCTGAGCTATGAAGCTTAGTTTCCCAGCTTTTTGCCTCCGATAAGCCAAGAGACTCTGCGTTCTACTGAGTCAGTAGTCAACTGCGGCAAGTTGACATTTTGCTGAGCCATCCCATAGGTGACTACAATACTCCATGCATGTTCATACTTGCGCTTTGCATAAAGTTAGAAGCTAACCAGGCGTGAAGTATCGTGTCACCTTGTATAGAATACCCAGTTTTTTGTCTGCAGGTTGTGCTGTCGACTCAATGTTAGCGCCAAAGTGGAGGTTAGCACTCAACTGTATGCCGAGAAGCTCAAGGTGATTAGCAACCTCTACAGATGTACCTTGGATAGTAGGAGTCAGATCAAACGGTCTCCGTTTTGCGGTAAACGTAGGTACATGCCTGCGTTTTGGCAGCGTTGAAAGTAACCAGATTATCGTCACCCCATTCGGAGACTAGACTGAAGGTCGCATTTATCCGCTCCACCATGGGCTCTCTAAATAAACGTATTAGGTACTGCCCCTCCGTCTTTTGCACTGAACGTGAATCTCTCTGTGACTGTGCTATATATCTATATATACGCAACAATATCTGGTATAAATAGGTCATTGATGTGCAGCAGGAAAAGAGTCGCAGAGAGAACAGACCCCTGTGGAACTCCGAACATCCATTAGGTCAGAAGAGCAGCCATCTATGATTATCCTGAATCCTGATCGACCGTTCAATCAAAAAATCAGATATCCAGTTGAAAAATTTGGCCGGGATGCCGTAGGCAGGAAGCTTACTCAGCAGACTTGCGTGCCAAACCCTGTCAAAAGCCTTCGAGATATCGAGTGAAACTGCTAGAGCTTCACCGTTCCTCACGATGATCTTGCCCCAAAAATACGTGACATACAGAAGGTCCCAGTGGACCGTCCCGGGCGAAAGCCTCTGAGGTCATTTGTTTCACGGTATTTTGATCGAATTACTTTATAATACTATATTCGTAAGCTTTTTTACTTTCTTTAGGATCCCATTGGGAACTGTAAGTACCTATTAAAACGTTTTTTCTTCTAGAAATATATTACATATAATTAAACTCAAAATAGTGAATAACAAGATACAATTTTTTGAAACGTTCCCTCAAAGAATTTATAAATAAATAATTTAAAAATAAAGTTTTTGAAGACAAAGCCTTTTTTTAAATTTTTACACAACGCTCGACATCTATTGGTAAATTATGAACAACAACGTGTCATATTTTCTTCAATTTAATAAGTTCTTCATACTTTTAAGAGATGGCGCATATTTCTATTCCTGATCTACTTACTCATAAAAAAATACTGAAATGATCTCGACCTGAGATGGACCACGCTCTCACAGAACATCAGTGTTAAATAACATCTTAATGCTGTATGTATTTGTTTTGTCGAGACGATGATTCGTAGCTATTTTTAGTAAGGTGCCAAACGAGCACACAGTCTACCGACATCTAAGCTCAGTTAAGAATCAAAATGTGGATGTGTGTCAACCCATAAGACTAAGCTGGGATGCCTCATTTCTAGTAAAAAGGTTCTCGAGTATCTACACTCATCATCAGGGCTTGATTTACCCACAGTCTAAGTAGGCTGGAGCCTAAGGTGCAAGGTTCGAGGGGGCGCTGACCTTGCATTTGCAAGCACCGCTTATGCACGGAATAAAATTTGATAAAATATTCGCAATAAATAATAGAGTAAGCGCCACAAGTATTACACTTGTTGCGCCTTCTTTTAATTTTTGTTACCAAATAAATAAATAGGTTGTAAAAATAAAGCTTTGAATTATTTCGTATTTTTCGTCCTTCATTGACTGACTGGACGTGATTCAAAGTCTTAAAACTGCTCAAGCTCTCTTCTCTACCACTAATTTTATTAAGGTCTTTGCCAAGGCAGTCCAAGGGAACTTCAGTCGTCTGTTCCATCTCTCCACAGCGAGAAAGATTCACTTGCCCATGCCGTAAAGGAGAAAGTCAATCTTTTGATTTCTATTTTTGCGTCTAACTCGACTCTCGGTGACGGGAGATACACACCGCCGACCATCACTCGGTGTGACTGCTCCATGCTGAATATGCAGTTTACACAGCGCTCAGTGTGCAAAGCACTACTCTCTATCGACGTCACAAGTCGAGTGGACCTGATGGAATCCCACCTATTGTGCTGTCGACGGGTGCTTCAGAGTTAGCCTCGGTTATATCGCGTCTTTCCTGCTACTTCTACTCCCAATCCCTAAAAAGGAAACTACTTAGGCCCGCCCAACTACAGGCTTCTCACCCACGTCCCTTTGTTCGCCAAAACATTGGAATCCATTATAAGCTGCCCGCTCATATATGTACCTTTAGGAGCACTAGCTGATTGGCACCTTGAGGAGATTCTAGTTCTAATTTTCTAATTTTCCTGCCTCATAGATGAGCAGAAACGGTGGAATCCAAGGGGGAGGTCCTGGTCATTACTATGGACATAGCGAAGGCCCTCGACTGACTTTGCCACAAAGAGCTTTTTTCGAAGCTTCCTTCCTATGGGCTTCCTGAAAAATTGTGCAATTGTATAATCAGTTTCCTTGCAGATCGGAGCATCAAGGTCGTAGAAGAAGGTGAAAACTCCGACTATGAGCTATTATTTACGCTACCTATATCTTCTGTATATCAATTATATGCTACTGTTACTGGTTATAACATTGGTGATGCTTCTTACACCGACCGCAGTAATATTTCTCGGTAGCACGTCATCGAGTATCAGATTAAACTTATGTCCGAAGTCGAGTCTTTAATAAACAAAATCTCGATTTGGGGACGTCTCTAGTCCAGTTTAAATTTCATAAAACACAGGTTTGCGCGTTTACCGCTAAAAATAACCTTTTTGTCATATCTCCTCATTTTCAGGGCACTTCCCATGCTGCCACAGCCAGCATTGGAATCTTTGGCATCGATATATCAAATTACGTTCAGTTCTGCGATCACTTTAAAGGGAAGGCTAAATTGGCCTCTAAAAAGTTTGGCATGCTGAGTAGAGCGGAACAGTATTTCATACCTTCACACCGTATGCAACTTTATAAGGCGCAAGTGCGCCCTCGCATGGAATACTGTTTTCATTTCTGGACAGAGACACCCCAGTGTCAGCTCTAGCAAGAGTGGATGGAATCGTCGATTCGTAAACGACTAACTTCTTTCTGATTGGCTAAATTCACTGGCGCTGCGAACGGATGTGGCAAATCATTGCATTTTCCACAAGGAGTTTTTAGACAAAATGTTCGGATTAATTCCGGCCGCCTAATTTCACCAACGCACATAGGGACAATACTTATGGTACCACCCTAGACTATGGTACACCATAACTGTGCGATTTACTAGTAGTTTTCTTCCTCGCAATACTTCTTTGTGAAATCCTTGTGAACGACGAAATGACCTTCAGGAAAATAGCTTTCTCCTTTTAAAAAAGCCGCACAACGCATTTGCAATTTTCCTGGTGTTTCTGTGTTGTTTGTTTAGTTGTTCAGCGATGTTCGACACTTAATATCAGAAAAATTTGATTCAAAGTGGACGAAACCGCG